ATGGTGAGAGTGTGGGGTGCTACAATCATATTTTCTCTTTGCTATTGATCCTCTGGCTATTGTGTAAAAAAATAAAAAAAATAGCAGGCCAAGTAAGGAGGAAGGGAGGCCAGATGAAGAGGCTGTTTGGATGGTCTACGTAGGACACGATGGAGGCTTGGACCAGTGGAAGTGGAAAGGGGGAAGATTTGGGGTATATCTGGAAGGAGGTCAAATTGACTGGATGTGGAACATGAGGAAAGAAATCTACGGTGGCTCCTAAGTAGAATGACAAGCCAAGCCGGATTGCCTGAGACTGAGGGCTTTCCCGGGACATGGAATTTTCAGGGCTAAAACCAGGACAAGTCCCAGACAAACCAGGATAGTTGGTCACATTACTTTTAGGTTTTTGAGCCAAACAATGGAGTGAGTAGCTGGTGCCATATACAGAGATAGAGACGACTCAGGGAGAACAGATTTCTAGAACAGAGTTCTATTTTGCCCATGTGAAGTTTGAGATGCTAATTAAACATTCACACGGAGATGGAATAGGCAAATGTATATACACATCTGAAGCCCAAGGAGGAGATCAGATTCAGATAGAACTCCGGGAGCCAGCAATATATAGATGGTATCGAAAACAATGGGGGAGATTACTTAGGGAGAGTATGTAAATAAAGTACAGAAAAGGGCCTAGGGTGGAGTTTGGATATGGAAATTTTGAGGGTAAGCAGAGGAGGAGCAGTCATCCAAGGCATTAAGAAGGAACAGTCAGTGAAGTAGGAGGTAACCCGGGAGAACGTGGGGTCATGGAAGCTTGGAGAAAAACGAGCTCCATGAAGGAGAGAGTGGTCAACTATGTCTAATCCTGCTGAATAAAATGGAGAAAGAAAAGTAGATTAAACCACAGTCCCTGCTCCCAAGGAGTTTCAGTGTAGTGGGGAGATGGGAAAGTCAATTCCTAAACAGCCATGAGTGCTCTAGCAGTGAGAAGCACAGGCTGCCAGGCAAGCACATAGGGCTCCTTCCTGGGCTGCATTTGGAAGGAGAATTGGAAAACAGGACATGGGTGGAGAAGAGTTCTTCAGGTCGAGGAAGCCACAGGCACAAAGGCACACTCAAGGAACTGTAGGGTTTCAGGATGGCTGGGGCACAGAGTGGTGAAACAAAAGGAGGCAGGAAGTGCAGGGAGCGGGGATAGCCAGGGCTATCACATGCGACAGAGAGGTCACCTAGGATGGGAACTGAAAAGTGTTGGATTTAGCAACCTGGACATAAGGGTCTATCTTTGCCAGAACAGTTTCAGCCATTTCAAGGAGTTGTGGGGACATAAGCCAGATTATGAGTAACTGGGAAGCAAGGAATAAGACACCCCGAGTGCAGAGATCACTCATTTAAGAAACTTGAAGTAGAAGGAAGGAGAGTGGTAATGTGGCATCTGGGAGTGGGGGTGGGTTTGTGGTTTTTTTTTTTTTTTCCTCTATAGTAGAAATCTTGAGCTTAGTTATAGGCTTGAGGGAAAGAACTAGAAGTGAGGGAGAGCTTGAAAATATAGAGGTGAGCAGATAATTGATGGAGTAAGAATTCTGAGAAGCTGGTGAGGGATGGGCACGTCTAGGGTTGGGGACATGTAAAGTTTAGCTTTGGATAGGAGCAAAGAGAGACAGATGGGTAGAAATATAGATAAAATTGTTAATAGTAGGCTTAGGAGGACTGAGGGGAAGTTGTTCTTTTCTGATTGCCTTTATTTTCTCTTAGAATAATGATGAAGTCTGCTGCTGAGAGCAGCTGTAGACCCAGCAAGAGGTATATGGAAGGCTAGAGAGTGAATTTACAGGGGTACAAACTTAATTCCTCCGGTGGCTGGATGTGATATTTTTCTGGGCAGGAGCAGAAAAGTGGATGGATTAATCCAGAGTGGCATCTTGCAGTGTTGATACAGCTGAGGACAAATGGACAAGGATATTAGCAAGGATAAAGTGACAGGCTATGAGTCTGGACTGAATAACGCAGGAAGTGGAATGAGGCTTTGGTTGATAGATTAGGAGGAAATGTACTGAAGGAAGAAGGCAAGGAGCAGGTATAAAGAGAAGAAAGGAATCAGGGTATGAGAAGGACCCAAACTGTTCTCAGGAAGTAGGACATTAGAGTTTAAGTTTTCCAGGTTGGAGCAAATCTGAGTGGTGAGAAAGTCCAAGGTGAGGCCTTGGGTATGAGTAGGTTATTAGAGGCTAGGTGAGTAGCCCCAGAGTTGAGGGTATTAACGTATTGTAAGGTTAGGACACTGGATAGATAGTTCATTCACATTAGTGCTGAAATCACCCAGAATGAGAGGGAGATATGGGAGGGAGAAGAAGCTGCTGAACTGGGAGCCAAGGTCCTTGATGAGCGGAGAGGACTGACCAGCAGGTTGGTGGGTGACAGAGACAAGAGAGGAAGAAGCTGATTGGCTGAAGGCAGAAACAGTTTTTACAGAGATGGAGGCATAATTGTGCCTTATGATTTTATTGAACTAAATTGAACCAAAGTGCTACATTAGTCCCAGGAAATGCCAAAGTCAGCACCAGCTGCTATTTTCTAGAAAAACCCCAGAACACACATTAAAGTCAGCCCTGAAAGAGCATTGCCTACCTAGAAAGAGCTGTCAAGTCAAGAAGAGACCCAGAGAAGAAATGTCAACAGGTAGACTACAGACGGAGCCATTCTTCTGGCCTCCACGGGCCCATATCTTGCCCCGACAATTTCAGTCCTCCCCTCCCCCTCTGGGGAACTGTCAGTGCCAGCTCTCTGCTCCATGACACATCCTGGCAGGAAAAGTCAGCCAGCCATCTTGGGCTGGCGTCAATCCCAGGAGAAGCCAGAGCAGAGGCTTTGAGAGATGGAGCTGAAGGAAGCACATTTCAGCGCACTTTTCTACGGAAGAGCAAGGGCTCATTAGCCAAAATGATCATTTTCCCAGGCCTGTTCTCAGACCAACTTAAAAATCACCTGGGCTGTGTCTCCACCCTTTCGCCCAGGAGTACAAGTTGCTTCCTGCTCAGACAGAACCCACCCTAACCTCAGCCCTTCTGGAGCACAGGCACCACTCGTACATTGCTTCTGCTTGTGAGTGATGTGAATACACACAAGGCACACTTCCAGGACGCTGCCGTCCTGTTGTTCTCCTGTTTCATGGGCACTTGTTCTCCAGTCTCCTTTGCAGGTTCTTTCTTATTAACTTGACCTCTGACATTTGGAATGCCCCAGTTCTCAGCCGTTTATCTCTGTTTCCTCTCTCCCTACACTCATTTCCTTTGTGATCTCAACTGGCCTCAGGGCTATAATACCTTCTAGTCACTGAAAAATACTAATGCATATCTCTACTCCTTAGTCTTCTATTAGGTTGGTGCAAATGTCATTGTGGTTTTTGCTATTTTTTTTTTTTTTTTTTGAGACAGAGTCTCGCTCTGTCACCCGGGCTGGAGTGCAGTGGCCGGATCTCAGCTCACTGCAAGCTCCGCCACCCGGGTTCACGCCATTCTCCTGCCTCAGCCTCCTGAGTAGCTGGGACTACAGGCGCCCGCCACCTCGCCCGGCTAATTTTTTTTTTTTGTAGTTTTTAGTAGAGACGGGGTTTCACCGTGTTAGCCAGGATGGTCTCGATCTCCTGACCTAGTGATCCACCCATCTCGGCCTCCCAAAGTGCTGGGATTACAGGCTTGAGCCACTGCGCCCGGCCTTTGCTATTGTTTTTAATGGCAAAAACTGAGATGACATTTGCACCAACCTAATAGTCTTATATATCCACTCACCTTGTTGGCATCTCTGCTTAACTATCTCATAGGCATCTCCAACTTAACATGCTCAAAATTGAACTTCTGATTCCCCCAACTCCCTGCCACACCTGCTCTACCTGCAGTCTACCCCCATCTCAGTCAATAGCAACTCTATCCTTCCAGCCGCCCAGGCCAAATCCCTTGGAGTCGTCCTGACTCCTCTTCCTCTAAATACAGTCTATCAGGAAATCCTGTCAGTTCTACCTTCAAAAGATACCCAGAATCTTACTCTTTCTCACTGCTTCTTCCCCTGACATCCTGAACCAAGCCATCATCATGTCTTGCTTGGATTATTACAATAGCCTCCTAACTAGAATCTGCTTCGACCCTGTTTCAAACAGCAGTCAGAGTGATCCTCTAAATACGTGAAGTCCTGAAGATCATGTCACTTCTGCACTCAAAACCAACCAACCATTTTCTGTCTCATTTAGAATAAAAGCAAAACTCCTTACACTGGCTTGGAATGACCTGGCCTCCCTCCACCCTCCATCCTCATCTCATCCTGTTCTCTCCCTCATTCACCCTGCTCCAGCCTTACTGGCCTCCTTGTTGTTTCTCAGACACTTCAAGGCTGCTTCCGCCTCCAGATCTTTGCACTTACTATTTCCTCTGCCTAGAACGTGCTTCCCTGCTATCCACACGATTTGCTGTCTCCTGTCCTTCAAGCCTTTATGCAAATGCCATTCTTCTCACTGAGGCCCTTCCTCACTACCCTATGTAAAATATACACAATAGAGGACAGCAGCACCCGCTGTGTTCCTTTTGTTCCCTTTACTCTGTCCATTTCTCTCTATAGACTTATCTTCTGAGACCACATACTTATTAAATGTGAACTCCGTGAGAGGAGGGACATTCTGTCCTTGCCCACAGAGGGTATCAATAAATATCTGTGGAACCAGTGCAATTCAATATACATGGTTGTGGGGAAACCTCAGAATTCTGCCATCCTCTGGATGCTAGCACTAGAATGGCAGTTTTTATAATGAAACCCTTTTCTTTCAAGTCCTTATAGAGGTATGACTTTAATTAAGCAGCTAGCGTGTCTGAGCCCTTGCATATTTACAGAGCCATATCTCGAATGCCAGCAGAGATGGCTGTTGCCTTCCTTTCCTTTGCTTCCTAGTTCTTGGAAGAAAATCAACAGTGGCTAGTGACCTTGCCTGCAGGTGAGCATAACTATTAAACACCAGCCCTCAATGCAGATTGCTGTTGTGGTTATTCTTTAATAGAGCAAAGGAATCTGTTACAATCTTCTTGTAACTATGTGCGTCTCTTGGCCAAATATGTTTAAATGATGTAGCAAATGTCTCAATATGAACTTTCTACTGATCAGGTTTTCAGGAGATTTGAGTTTTGGTCTTAACTCTACTGTGGAATTGCCACAACTCTGGGTACTTTCCTGAATTCTCTAGTATCTTCGTTGGGAAAAATGTAATTTTGGGGGTAGATGATCACTAAGACCCTTTCTTGATCTAAAGTTGTGGTTTTCTCAGAACAGAAGAGCTCCTATTTGTGAGTCACTAGAAACACACATGATTATCTCTTTGGCTTTCCCATTACACACAAAAAGCCTTTTTTTCTGTGACTTTTATATTGGTGAGGACTTTTTCATTTGTTAGGGGCAGAAACCCAGCTCAAACCAACTAGAAAGGAAGTAAGAGGTCTGTTGGCACCTATAGCTGGAAATTTAGGGGTAGAGCCTCTCTGGCAAGCTGGATCCAAGGGCTCCCAGGATATAAGGAGGACCCAGTCTCTCTCCGTCTTCTGGCTTCACTTCCTCCTGTGTTGGTTTCACTTTCAGGCAGGCCCCATGTGACGACACCAGCAACAGCCACACAACATGTGCCACCTTCAAATGCAAGAAGAAAAGGGCTTCTTCCCAGGAATTTGGGGATCTTTAAAAAATGGAGTCTCATTGGTCTTGTCTGAGTCCTGTGTCCTTTCCTGAACCAGGGAAATGGAGAGTTGTCAGATCTCTGGCCAGATCTGTGTCACAGCCCAACCCTCAGTGGAGCTTGAGAGTAAAGGTGGGGAGCCCACCCAACCCACACAGGCTGAGAGCGGCAGAGAGTAGATAGATGTCAAAAGGAAACCTGGGGCTATTAACAGAAGAAGGGAGAGTAGATGCTGGAGAGGTAAAAATAATGGACATTTATTTCAGTCCTCATTGAGGGTTTTTTTTTTTTTTTTGAAACAGAGTCTTACTCTGTCACCCAGACTGGAGTGCAGTGGCACTATCTCAGCTCACTGCAATCTCCACTTCCTGGACTCAAGCTATTCTCATGCCTCAGCCTCCCGAGTAGCTGGGATTACAGGCGTGCGTCACCAAATAAGTTTTGTATTTTTAGTAGAGACGGGATTTCACCATGTTGGTCAGACTGGTCTTGAACTCCCGACCTCAAGTTATCCACCCGCCTCGGCCTCCCAAAGTGCTGGGATTACAGGTATGAGCCACCACACCTGGCCCTCACTGAGTTATGATTTTCTTGTAGGTTCTGTATTAATTTCTCATGGCTGCTGTAACAAATTACTACAAATCGGTTGGTTTAAAACAACAGAAATTTATACTCTCACAGTTCAGAATGAAATCAAGGTATTGGCAGGGCTGCACTCTCTCTGGAAGCTCTAGGGGAAAATGTACTCTTTGCCTCTTCTAACTTTTGGTGGCTGCCAACATTCCCTGACTTGTGGCCACATCACTCCAATCTCTGTTTTCATAGTCACATAACTTTCACCTCTTCTATTAAATTTCTTATGTGTCTATTATGAGGACACTTGTCATTAGATTTAGTTCTCACCCCAGTAATCCAGGATGATTTTCTCATCTTAAGATTCTTAATTGTATCTGCAAAGACCTTTTTCCAAATAAGGGAACATTAATAGGTTCCAGGGATTTGATGCAGATAGCTTTTGAGGAGCTGTTTTTCAGCCTACCACAGATATCAAACCAGAAATAGTAACGTTGAAGTGATTAAGACATCAGAATGTAATGGAGAATCAGAATAATTTATAAATATGATTGATATATTTTTTCCAAATGCTTGGTTGCCTTTTAAAGAGATAAAAGAGGCCAGACACACTTGCTCACTCCTGTAATCCCAGCATTTTGGGAGGCTGAGGTGGGATGATTGCTTGAGTCCAGGAGTTCAAGGTTGCTGTGAGCTCTGATTGTGCCACTGCACCACCTTAGCCTGTGTGACAAAATGAGATCCTGTTTCTAAGCAAATAAATAAATAAATAAAAAGTTTTTAAAGGGATTAAAAAAACTTTGCTGTGGGGGGAAAAGCAATCAGACAGGTAAATTTCTGACTTCGTTGCCAGTCATGTATGATTTTCATTTTAATATATCAACCCTCCTTCTCTCTTCCAGGTCATTGTTGAACCAATAGCTTCTTCTATTTGGGCTTTCTACTCTTTTTCTACATGTCTTTAGCTCTTTTGCTAAAATGTCATTACTAGCAGTATCCATACTAATCATAATTGATCAACAAGAGCTAGCATGGAAAAAGTCACTAGCGAGACTACACCACAGTTAGGAAAATATTTTCAAACCTGATTTCTTATTTCAAATGAGTAATAAACACTTAAAAATCTGAGCCACTGGCCTTTTCTCATCTAGGTAAATGTCCCTAGGGACCCCAGGCTAGATTAGACATTAAACAAGACAAAAATCTTGTGGAAAAAGAGATCAACAGGCACTCAAAGAAGACAGTGGTGTAATACATGTTTTCAAATATATGTCATCTTGTCCCTGTTTCCGCCCACGTTCAGCACAAGCAGCTGCCCTTACTGGTTGCTCAGGTTGGACTGGAAGTACACTGATTGCTGGTATTTTCCCTTGAGGCATCTTGGCAGCAACTCTGGCAGTTTATATTCTTGGCCATAACAGGGGCTAGGCAGGTGGCTCTGTGCTTTGTCAGTGGCGTGAGTTCTACAGGTGTTTCATATGGCTGGTGACAGGGGAGTGCAGCCTGGCAGAGTCTGCTCCCTTGATCTGCCAAGCTTCCCCAATTCAGAAACGAAGGGGCACCTAGACCTTCATCTGTGCTTCCCAAGTGCAGCTCTGCTTTACTGTCAAGTGAAGCTTTCTCTGCTAGAAATTTGTGGGATCTGAGAAGGGAGAAATAATTTGGACATTATGGATTTCTGCATGTCTTCTGCTTCTGGAGAATGGACTTAACTTAGATCTGGCAGCCAGGATGTTGGCAGAGTCAATTTCCAGTGTTGGAGTGAGAATGATGTAATGAAAACAGCTCTGGCCTGAGACATTGGTGGGCAGATCCTTTTCAGCCACCACCTTTCTCAGTGACCTTGACCAGCCCCTTTCCCTTCTCTGTTCCTCAGTTGCCATATTCAAAACAAGAGGATTGGACTAAATGTTCTCTGAGGCATTTCCTAGCTTTACCATCTATCAGATGTATACATTTTAAACCCTCCAGGTTGAGCATTTGGGATCTATGAGAAGGATCACAAGCTGTTTCTTTTCCCAGAAAGAGCTCCCCACGCACACCCTGATGATGCTGATGGTTATATTCAGAGTGCCTCTAAATAAAGTCCAAAAGTATAGGACTGTGGTTAGAGTTAAGAGTAGTTCCCAGTTATGACCATATCAAGCATTCATCAAATGTTAATTGGGCCGGGCGCGGTGGCTCATGCCTGTAAATCCCAGCACTTTGGGAAACTGAGGCAGGTGGATCAGATCACTTTAGGTCAGGAGTTTGAGACCAGTCTGGCCAACATGGTGAAACCCCTTGTCTAGTAAAAATGCAAAAAAATTAGCCAAGCATGGTAGTGAGTGTCTGTAGCCCCAGCTACTCTGGAGGCTGAGGTGAGAGGATCACTTGAACCCAGGAGGTGGAGGTTGCAGTGAGCCGAGATTGCACCACTGCACTCCAGCCTGGGCGATAGAGCGAGACTCTGTCTCAAAAAAAAAAAAAAAAAAAAATTGTTAATTGGGTGCCACAGACAGCTGCCAGGGCTATAAAGATGGGTAAGATGGAGTTCCTGCCCCAAGGAGCACACAGTCCAATGGAGGAGACAGATGACTAAATCAAGGATTGCATTACAGTGTGATAAGTGCTACTATAAGGTTATTCATCAGGTGCCTTGACACATGGAGGATGGACCTATAAATCTCTCTGCGGTAGTGTCAGGAATGGCTTCCTGGAGGAGGTGGCACATGAGTAGACACTGAAAGGATGAACAGGAATTACCTATGTGAAATGGGGATCAAGTCTCCTAGAATACTCACAAAATGTATGTTTGCCCAACAGATAATTGCCAACTGTCATGGAACACATTGCTCCCTTTAAACACAGGTGTCTCTCTCATTGTCTAATTATTCTCTTGGGCCTGGCACATGGATTGGAACTGTATGTACCTAAATGGAGCCCCAGGGGCAGATCCGGAGTAAGCCGGGAAAGCCAAATGGACTCCAGCATTTTTTCTTTTTTGAGACAGGGTCTCGCTCTGTTGCCCAGGCTGGAGTGCACTGGCAGGATCACAGTTCACTGCAGCCTCGACTTCCCAGGTTCAAAGTGATCCTCCTGACAGTGTTCTGAGTTGCTGGGACTACAGGCTTATGCTACTAGGTCCAGCTAATTAATTATTATTATTTTGTAGTGACAGGGTCTTGCTATGTTGCCTAAGCCGGCTAACTTTGATATAGACCCTGAGATAGCAGAACTGTGGGCTCCAGCAATACTGTTTTTGGTATGCCAGTATGAAAGCTTGCAGTCTACATTCCGTACACATAACATTCCCTTCTCTCTTTCTATTTTTCTTTCTTTTTCCTTTTCGATTGCTGGTGCAAGTTAGGGGGAATGGAATGGAGGGACATAAACGCTGTTGGTTTCTGAGTATTTCTAAGGTCTCCCTGTGATTCTACTTAGTCATGGCAGGCTTCTTGGAGGAGGTGCTGGTAAAGAAAGGTAAGGACTAGCTTGACTAATCAGGCTGGCATCTGAGCTAGGAGAAGCTCCCCGGGTCCCCGGCTGCTCATAGCCCCGCCACACTTCCGTGCCTGTGACCTTTGTTTCTCTCCTAACCTCCCACCAAATAGAACCAGGTTTAATCACTTCCCCTTTTCCCTTCAGTGGCTGGACATGTCCATCAGGTTCCTGATTCAAAGCACTTTCAGTCAAACTGGGTTCCCTGCGCGGTGCGCCTGGACTGGGGGACTTGGGGCTGCCGGCTAGTTCTCTGCGCTGTGAATTACCTTCCGAGGCGGCGGCGCGGCTCCGCCCCCAGCCCCGCCGGTGGTTCAAGTGCAAGATCCGAGCTGGGAGCGGAGAGGCAACACCCCTGCTCGCACTGCAACCTGCTCCCTTCGGGGAGGGATCCTCTCCGCTCCAGCTTCTGCTCGCCGGGCTCCGCCAGGCTGGAGGGCAGCAGAGCCAGGAGGAACGGAGACCCAGCGCTGCCCGTTAATAGTCCCGGCAGGAAAGCCATCATAATTACTCACCGCGCTAATTGCCCGTCATTAAAGTTCAGGAAACGGTCCGAAGAGGAGCTCCGAGTCGAGGAGGGGGCAGGTGGTGTCTGGGGCTCCCGGCCGGCCAGGGTTAAGCGCTTGCCTGCTCCCTGCCTCCCGGCTTGAGGCCAGCGCGTCTTCAGTGGGAGGCCAGCCACTGCCAGGGACCCGGGAGCGACGCCGCCAGCCCGGCCGGACCCCCTCCCCCACCACGGCCTCTAGAAGGGGGCAGCAAGTGGGGGGTCCCGGGTACCAAGCCCCCTGCCCAGCCGGCGCCTGGAGGCGCAGAGAGCCAGAGGGGCTGCAGGGACACCGAGATGGCCGATGAGATTGACTGGCTGGACCTGCCCGGCCGGTGGGCCTACGGAGTTGACGGTGGTGGGAGAATCTTCTTCATCAAGTATGTTGGTCTCCCTCTTCTTTTTATTTCAATTTTTTTCCTTTAAGTTGTCCAACTTGAAAAGTGGCGGGGTTGGGGGCAGGCTGGAGAAGGTGGGTGAAGCGGTGGGTGAAGCGGTGGCTGCAAGGGCGGGCATGACTAATAAGTTTATCACCATGCCTGTTTGAATGTGTCTCCCGCCTTTTCCTCAATGGGTCAAAGTCCAGCAAAGGCTTGGCATTCTCTCAGCTCGGAGAGGCAGGGCAGGGCAGGGGAGTGCTGCCCTTTCTCCCTCTCCTTGGTCACATGCGAGGCCTCCAGGAGGATGACTAGACTAATGCCCAACCTGGAGTTTTTTCAGCTCCTTCCCTGAAAGGGCCAGAGGTAGGTCTTTCATTCCCCCCCCCCCAACTTTCCTATGGGAAGACTTGGGCTAAGTGACAACATACCAGGAGATCCTGCCTCTGCCACCCAGTTCCTGGCAACCCTCACCCCAGACTCAGCGTGCCCAGGACAGCAGTTCTCCTCTCCTGTCCTGCTTCTTTATGGGGCTGTGGTCAAGAGAGAAGGGCACGATGCCCACTGTATGTTTAGCATTCTTGAGAGAGAGAGAGCGCCTTTGCTACTCTCAGTAATATATTAGCACTGTTATATTAATTTCATAAACCAAAATGGCTCTGGCATAATCTCATTATAACAAAGTGGCCGTGCTGGCTCTCTTTTGGCTCGCTTCTACTACAGTCATCTTTTGCCAGGATAGACATCTCCCAGAAATATAGCAAGTCTAGAAGCACAGCGTCTTGGACTGTTACCCACACTTGACGAGCTTTTCCTTCCTCAAGATAGCCACTTACAAAACATCAGAGCTGCAAGGAATCTTAGAAGCAATCCCTTCATTTGTCAAACGGGGAACTGAGGTCCAGAGGTATTGAAAGTACCGGTCGAAGAGAAAACCACTTGTTAATCAGAGCTGGGACTCAGCCTAGCATCTGCTGACTGAGTGCACTGCTTCCCCAGGTACCAAACTGCCTTTGCAGGGGCTCAGGCAGGCAGCGGTTTCTCTTTGGTGTTTCTAAGTTTCCACATTTGCTTTAGGCCTTTCTTCTGTAATTGTCACCACCATGATCATAATTGATGTTGTAATTATGTTATCTTAGAAATTAACTCCATTAAAGGTCTTGACCCTAAGTCAGATTCTTAAATAACAGAACTTCTGCAATATTAAAACTGCAGTGACTTGAGACATTAGAGTTTATAAGAATCACCCAAGGAACTTATTAAGCAGGTGGATTCCTGAGCCCTACCTCAGGAGATTCCTATTCAGACGATCTGGGGGAGGGTCTTAGAATGTGAATTACCATGAGTCCCTCAGGTATACTGATGAAGTGGTTCATTCTCTTCTTTCTTCCTGATCTCTTACTTGCCATCCAGATTATTTTCCTCTTTCATTTTACAAACATTTACTGGGCATCCACTCTTTGCTGCAGTGCTAGGCACTGGAGATAAAAAACAATAAGATGTAGGTTTTTACTTTAAGGTAACAGGGAGAAAACGTAAATCAATACTTAGGAAATACTATGGTACATTCTTGAGGCATTTGCAAGATGCTATGGGAAGGAAAGAACTAATGCTCTCCAGGGAGTTCAGTGAGGGCTTCCCAGAGGAGGAAGCATTTGAGCTGATTCTGGAGGAGAGACAAGAGTGAAAGAAGCCTTGGAAGTAGAGGCTTGGGGAAATAAAGGCACCAATGGGGGCTGGGGAACAGGTAACCTAGAGCACTCGGAGAGGTTCAGTGGAGATGGAGTGGAGCTGCTGAATTACTGTAGAGGCCCAGGAGGAAAAGTAGGAAGAGGCAGCTTGAGAGAGCCCTTACGTGCTTAGCTAAGGGGTCTGGACTCCATCCTGTAGGTGATGGGAAGCCAAAGGAGATTTCAAACTGGGACTTGACATCATCAGATCTGCATTTAGAGCCTTCTCTCTGGCAGCTTCATGGGCAGTGATTCGAGGCTGAGCGAGAGGCAGGAGGAGAAACTTAAGGTATGGAAAGCAGTTAGGAAACAGTTGCAAAAGTCCAGGAGACAGCTGATGGGGCCTGAATTAAAATGGTGAGAACAGAAGAGAAGGGGAGGGAGAGATGGGAGGAATCTTCAGGAACCAAATCAGGAATATTCTTCTAAAGCTTGAATTCTGGGAAGGGGAGACAATGGGAGGAATCAACGGTAAAGCTTAGAATTTCCAGCTTGAATTTGAAAGAGGTCAGGAGTATGGCAAGAGGAGTGCATTTTAGGGGGAGTACCGGTTTAGTGGGGAAACACTGCAGTTGATGTCCCTGGGGGACATCCAGGAGATGCTGTCTAACGGACAACTGGACATACAGGATAGAGTTTGAAGAGAGAGGCCTGGGCTGGAAAAGGGTCATCATGTGGGGGTAGAACCACCCAGAAGAGTGCGAGGGAAAAGACAGGAGTATACCCAGGCAGCACCAGTGTTAAGGAAGGGATAGAGGAACAGAGGCCAGGTTGGAGAGTAAGACCGAGAGGTTGCAGAGGTGGGCGGCACCAGGACCAGGGTAGAATGCCACCCCAGAAGGCAAGGAAGAGGGATGTTAAGAAGAAAAAAGGAATTCAACAGTATTGGATGCAGCAGAAAAGCCAAATGGGCCAAAGGCTAAAAAACACCTAGTGGATTTAGGAGAAGGGGAGGCCTTTAATGACATCTAGGAAAGTGGTTTCAGGAGAGGGCTGGGAACAGAAACCAGGTTGCAGGGGATTGGTGAATGAAAGGCCAGGAAGTGGGGAAAGCTAGGAGAGACTACTGTCAAAGGTTTGGTCAGGAATGAGGAGTGTGAGACAGGAAGCTGCCAGGGGACATGGCATTGAGAGGGAGGCAGAGTACTGAGACTATAGAAGACACAGACAGAGGAGGAGAATAAAGGGATGGACCCCAGAAAGAGAGAGGAGGTGAAGATGCAAGGCTGGGATGCTCAACAGAGAAAAGATGGGAGAGAAGGGGGACGATAACCCAGGCAGAGAGATTAGCCTTAAAGGGGAGAGAAGGCAACCTATTCTCCAGAGGAAGACAAGTATTAAAGGATGGGTGAGAATCTGGGTAAGTTTTGGTGGTGAGGTGATTGGGCATACTGGGAAAGCTCCCACCTAATCTTTTCTATTTTTTTTTTTCGATTAAGAGATAAGATCCTCTGTGCAGGAGAGGGGCTGGGTAGCAGAGGCAGGCCTGGGACCTGAGATTAGCGGGAAAGCCTTGGAGCTCTCTGTGGATGACAACTGACTGGGGACCTTGAAGAAGATTCTAGGTGGCACTCAGGGCTCAGCTAAGCTGGGAGACTGGATTTGCAGTGACCCCAGTCCTCCCAGGCCCAGTTCCCCCATCAGCCCGGTGCTGGAGTGGAGACGGCCTGTGACTGTCCCAGACGGGTGTGCTGACAAGGGGTGCAAGGGGTGCAAGATGGTGCAAGGACTAGGGGAAGAGGAAGTTGAGGGTTGTGGTGGAATGTCAAGGGTGTGATAGGGTTGTCTGTGATATCCAGTGGGGCAGAGATAGATGGGAAGTCTGAGGGGGCTGACAGTGTGCAAGGAGGGGAGAGTCAGGGGCTGGAAAATCCCAGGAGAGATGTGATGGAGGTGAGGGCACTGGCTGACTTCCTCTCCAAGCCCTTCCTTTTTATTGGCTTCCTCTTCCACTGCCTCCGAGAACCAAAGCCAAGACCAGAGATCCAGTATGTTAGAGTCTTCTTCAATGGTGCCCGAGCTCAGAGGTCACTAGAACAGTGACTTTGTTTTTTTCTCTGCTTATCAGAGGGGTAGTTTAGCTGGGAGATCTCTTCCTGTAACATGTGTCCAACTTTAGAGAAAATTAGTGGAGTCAATAGAAAAAAAAGCATAGGTTTACACCAACACTAGTACACAAATGTTCATAGTAGCTTTATTTGTAGTGGCCCAGAACTGAAAACAACCTGTAAGTTCAGCAACAGGTGAATGAATGAACACACTGTGATGTTTCCTACAATGGAACACTATTCAGCAATCAAATGGAATCAAACGACCACATGCCACAACATGGACAAAAGCATGAACGTCAGGAAAACTGGGTGCTGTGGTTCACACTGTAATCCCAGTGCTTTGGGAGGCCAAGGCAAGAGGATCACTTGAGGTCAGGAGTTTGCAACCAACCTGGGCAACATAGTAAAACTTTGTCTCTGAAAAAAAAATAGCCAGAGGCCAGGTGTGGTGGCTCATACCTATAATCCCAGCACTTTGGGAGGCCGAGGCACTTGAGGTCAGGAGTTTGAGATCAGCCCGGCCAACATGATGAAACCCTGTCTCTACTAAAAATACAAGAAAAATTTGCCAGGCATGGTGGTGCATGCCTGTAACTCTAGCTACTTGGGTGGCTGAGGTGGGAGGATTGTTTGAACCCAGGAGGCAGAGGTTTCAGTGGGCCAAGATTGTGCCACTGCACACTCCAGCCTGGGTGACTGAGCGATACTCCATCTCAAAAAAAAAAAAAAAAAAAAAAAAAAAAAGCCAGACATGGTGGTGCATGCCTGTAGTCCTACCTACTCAGGGGGCTGAGGAGGGAGGATTGCTTGAGCCCCGAAGTTTGAGGCTACAAATGACTCTATGATTGTGCCACTGCACTCCAGCTTGGATGGCAGAGTGAGACTGTCTCAAAAAAAAAAA